CAAGTTTGATATCATTCCATCTCATATAGCGTTTCTGCCGTAGTCCAGCTGTTTGTGACCTTTGACCCCAACAGCTCCTAAGGGCACATTTTTATTCCCCATTTCCTCACTAGTTTTCCCATCTTTATAGCGGGCTTCATCAAGACAAAGTCAGGATACGAAAAAATTTATCTGTTTTTGTCTCTTCCGTAGAATCTCTTCTTCGCAAGCTTTGCATCGAAGTGGTAGTGAACTCAGCATTATAAAGTAAAAGACTCCTCGAAACGCAAAATGTTATCGTTACGTTGGTTTGACTGCTTGAGTGATGCATGCCAAATGGTATGTAAGACAAATTTCTGGCTCAGTTCAACCGGAACCGAGAAAAGCCGTCTCGAGTGTGACGTCAGCAAGCGATGAATACGTGAAGGGGGTGAATATGTAATCGTTTTGGTAGGACAGACCGGCGCCAATCTTGTCATTAGACAAATTTTTATTTACAGAATAAATAAGCGTCTCAGAACAAGTTGAGGGGGCTAGTCAGAGAAAACTAGTTTTAAGACAGAAGACGGCATATCCCAAATGTTAGGGGGAGTCGAGAAGACCTTGTCATATTTTGTTGACATTGTACAGTATTCAAGAATTCTAAATGGCCTATCTATATATGCCTAAATATAAATAAAAATGGCAAATATTATTTACTTTATATTATACATTATTATATTATATTATGTTCAGATAATTTGATTAAATACATCTTTTTTATGTCTATTCCAAGCCAATGGTATGGATATATATATATATATAGATAGATAGAGAGATAGAAAGATGCCCCTCCTGGTCGCATCAACACTGACAGCGGGAATCAAACCCGGGTTCTGGCAAGATAGCGTTTAATTTTGACATGTCACAGCTATGTCGCGGTGCAACCAATGCTCCCGATTCACATGTCAGGCGTTAATTTCAATCAACCTCAGGCTTTCCCATATCACATTGTTATTGTGGAATTTTTGGCAAAGAAAATATATTTTATTATTACAATCAACTCTACTACTTATAATTGAATAAAGTAGCTTTTTTGACACTTATTCACGTAGGTACACTGGGTGAGATAGCGGATAGCGGGGCAAGGTTGTTTCGGATAATATATTTTTAGGTATTATTCACATATTATGCCTATCGAAGGCTCAAGATTGTGTTTTGTTGCAGGTGTGATTAGCATTCATTTCGTGCATGCGCCCTCATTTGAGGCAATCTTCGTCAGTCGAGCCGCAGTTCCTTCGCTCTGGCTGGCAGTGATTGCTAGTCTTGGACGGAATTAACGAGACGCAGCAACTGGCCGACTCTGCTGAAGATAGAATGTTGTTGCGACCGACAAAAGTGACTCTGTATCGGGTAGAATTGTTTCTGGGCTGAGTTGGAGAAGGGAGGAAGACATCAAAAGCCCCGCGACTCATCTGCCTTCCTGTGGGGAGACGAACAGCACAATTAGGCGATTGTGTACTTTAATTCTGTCGCTTTGTGGCCTTGGGCAAACTGGCGGTTGTGGGCAACTGATGCTGTCGAGTCGGCCAACGCGACTGGCTGATTGCATCACATCTCCCCTTTCAACTCGCGCCCGTGAACTCATCACTCCCTTCAACTTGACTGGCCTCGGTCCGCTCTGCCAACAAGACCCGGCGGCAGAGTTGCAGGCCAAGATCGACTGCCAATCATTGAAACTGCACACTCAACAATCCCTGAAAAGTGCAACTGGGCGCCCCGGATGTACAGGCAGCGCAGAACTGAAGTCTTGTCCTGTTCTGTCGTCTTCTGAACTTGTCAACCAAGTGCAATTCGTCAATCTCCACACCGAGCCAAGAAGACATGAGGCGGGACTCGAACCAGGACCAATTGAAGTTATGACAAGAGCTGGGTTTTAAAGAATCCCTTTAGATCACATGAAGCTGAAACCAACACTTAAAGCATAATCTACGATTGTAAAATATCATATCTCGAATTGTATCGGCCTATAAAGAGTCATCATGAGTTGCATGCAACGATGAAGAATAGATAGTTGAATTTATCAAAATTTTTTTAAATGAATTGCACATAGCTAAGCCCTACGAAATATATTCTTATTCCAAATATATTGCAATTTATAACTTGACTGAATAGCTCCTGTCGTCTTCTGTACTTATCAACCAAGTGCAATTCGTCAATCTTCACACCGAGCCGAGAAGGAACGAGGCGGGATTCGAACCGGGACCAATTGAAATTATAAAAAGAGCTGGGTTTTAGAGAATCCCTCAAAATCACATGAAGCTGAAACCAACACTTAAAGCATAATCTACGATTGTAAAATATCATATCTCGAATTGTATCGGCCTATAAAGAGTCATCATGATTTGCATGCAGATAATTGAAATTTTCTAACAATTTTCTAAATGCATTTCACTTAGCCAAGCCTTACGAACGATATTCTCATTCCAAATAGATTGCAATTTATACCTTGACTGAACAGCTTCAAAACCCTAAGACGAATTGAAGCATGGATCGCTCGCGTATATTGACGACACATTTTCACGGTTGAAAATGTATGAAAACACAGACTTGACTTTCAAGGCGATCCAGTACTCTCTCACATTCCATTCAGAGTGGGATTTTCGTTGAGACAAGTGTCGATGTGGCCATAAAACGCAAATAAGTTATTTATTTTTCGTTTATAAGTAGGTCTAAGAGACTACCAGCAGATCATATATACGAGATGTGTTAATTCCCTTTCGTTTACGATGATGAAGGACTAGTAATTTAATTTCCCCACAGTGATATGAGTAGAACTTATGCTACCACTCAATTCCACATAGCCTTGCTTTCTTAAAGGGGAATGTTGCATTTTCTATAGCACTCGACTATATTACTTATTTTGCGTTTATATGTAGGTTTTCGAGAATACTAGTAGATCTACTACTGATATTCATATTAGTAGTTTTCGAGACCATCAGAAAATCTCGAATAATAACCATAATCTGCAGTAACTGACAAAAATTATAGTTAAATTTTCTAACAATTGTATAAATAGGTTTTTTTGCGTATTATCTGTCCATGGCCGTGCTCGGGTTTGATTCTGTGGGTCCATGCTAGAATGGACTGTATTTATGAAGTCAAATGATATCGTGTGGCCTTTTCACATTGTGGAAAAGTTCAACTATCATACATCATTTCATATGAATTGTGGTGACCCGAATTCTTAGAAAGAATCATCATTAACTTTGGGATCTAAAAACGCTTAGTATAAGGGCTCTAGTCATCATAGGTCACTTGTGACAATTTGGGGAGTGATAATTAGGGTTTTATCCCAATTAATTATGTACATCTCATGATATCATTTTTCTCAACTTAATCTTGCCTCAACAAAGTTTTTCTTCTACATGGTGTACTACAGACTTACATCCTCATCATCATCGTCACGTTCATCGCCAAACCCATCGCTAATATTATCAATATCATCATTTTTTCAATTTGCTTGTTATTGCCATCACCATCACCTTCCTCTTCTTCTTCTTCCTTGTCAGCATTTCTTTCATGTTCATCGGCAATGCACATCTCCATTATTATTATTATTATTATTATCATCATCATTATTAATAACATCGTCAGCAGCAGCTCATCATTGTTGTTGTTGTTGTTGTTTTTATTGTTGATATCATTAATCTTTTTTCACGTGGACAATGTAACTGTCAAAGCAAATCAGACTCGTCCAACTTGAAATTATATTGAAATTGTTTGACCTTGTTTTCGCAACTTGGTCATGTTGGTAGGAGGACCAATAGGAAAGCACCTGGTCCTGAGTCCATTGTATGCATAATTA